GAAGTCGGATGTACATGGAAGACTTACCTCTAGGAGCGCGCTGATCGCTTCAGGTCCTTGCGAAGCGAGGTGTTGTACGCCCTCAGGGCCAAGCAGAGACATCAGCTTTTTAAGCCCGTCCTGTATGCCCTGGGGCAAACGACTCAGATGTGAAACTGACTACAAGTGCTACCAAGTGCAGCGGGGCTGCCGTTGCTCTTTCGCTTACGCTTCGCCTACTCCGAGAGTATGCACAACCATAATCCAAGACAAATAAAGTTTTCCGCTCAAAATGTAAACTGGATTTTATTTTCTTCGCGGCAAAGCCGCTTATATCTAGATCTATCGATCTTCCTTATTAAAAAAAATAATTTAGATGCGTAACTACTGGCAGTCCAAATACGTTGTGGCTTCTTAAGGTGGAGCGACACCATTGTGTGGACAAACCATCCTGTGTGACCCACCAGGGTACGTTTAACCTCGTTACACTCACGGCCCGCTTAATGTTCTATACTACCTTTTGCTCGTTTAGCAGCGCCAGCGCGAGACGACCCTTCCGCAACCGTTCTCTCGGTCATGGCGGTATGTCACATCTCTAGAAGAATCTTGACATGGTACAGACCTAAGACGGATCACGTTTCAGATGCGCGCTTTCAGCTGCACTATCGCAATGCGCGAGTTGAGGCGCCCACAGAACCGCGTCGTTTGTCTAAAAGATACCATAGATACAGAATTGGTAGAAACTTAAGCCATCTATTTTGAAGCGCAGCACTACCGACTGGCACTTAATAGCGACGTCGTAAACTTTCTTGGGCTAGCTTACGTAGAGCAGAAGGCGTTTGCATTCATTTCGTGATGTAAATGATTTCATTATTTTTGCTGAGACTATGATCGGGTACTACAACGTGGATACATCTTATCCAAATAAACCGACACTACCTGTGCAGGTTGGCTAATATTGGCGTGTTGATTTTGCATACCCAGGCTCTAAGCCGTGGTTCGCCCAATAGGCGATGACTATTCTGTCACGATAAATTCTTAATTTGCCAAGATGTGTCCATTGGTTGATATCAGTACATTGATAAAGACACACCCAAACCAAATCCTCTGGTAATACTAGCTAAATAGCACGGACAACAGTTCGATACAATGACTATCGACAAGTCATGTCTAACTTTGTCAAGGAGCATTTTGGCAGTCTTCTTCTCGGTTACGGTATCGATGACAGCAGCGAGATTAGTCATTTGCTCAAACGATCCGCGAGGCCACAATGCGGGGATTGCCGAACAAGCCTTTTGGACCACTAGTAGAACATTTAGATAGGGATTGCCAACATTCTGCAAGAACCGGTAGGATTACAAATGGCGCTGACTCATGCGGCGAGAGGATCAAATATTTGACACGTTTTACATGAGCGCTCACAAAGCCCATATTAGGCCACCAGATCATAGCAACCCAGGAAGTATCATATGCCTTCTACACAATCCTTACTTGAGGTCCTCGTCATGAAATACCACCGCACATCAAGTCTAGTGTCTAAATCCAGCAATCCTTGGGATAAAGAATTGTGCAGCAAAACGCTTTCATTAGGCATCATAAGTCTCCCAATGATATGCCTCCTAAAGCTTGTTGTAAGCGAAACAACATATGTCTCATTTGATACGTGCGCTGCATATATTGCTTCGTCAATTAGTCGTGCCACCACTGAAATATGCGACACTTTATAATCCGGGCGATACTCTAGCCCATCAGCCACCTCATTGGTCTAACTCCGCCTATATCTTTTCGTAAGCGTATATTCGACAACGCAATATAACCATTATGCCCATCTCTGTGTAAGATGTGGTGACATCATCGCTGTGTGCAACGATGCGTGATATATACAGACCACAATCGGCTTTGCCCAAGCATGGCGATGACACAGTCCCCCTGCAGCTCATTGACGTGAACAGAATACTGTTTTCTGCCGCTTTAAAGAGGCCAGCCTCCAGGCGTGGCCGCTTGTATGCGCCCATTTGCATCTGCTTAGAATTAGCGCGAACTATGGACAAGGATGAACCATCACAGACGGCAATAAGATGTCGATAGTGCCGAGTCGAATACGCATCGGATTTCCTCACGCAGCGTTGAGGAGCGACTATTCCGCCGCACCCTTACACGATTTATTTTTTTAGGGGGTATTGGTGAGCTACCGTACCGTGTCTGTATAGCTTGCGCTTTGCTTCAACAAGGGCTTGGCTAGGTCAAGCGATTCTTTGAGATAAAGTCACTGTCCAATTTACAAAGATCTTTACGTTTGCAAAATCTACCCACAGACCATGCTTACCAAAATAGCAAAATGGAAAGGGTATAACTTCGGCGCCAATGACACAGTTGTCTATATTATAATTAGCTTATTTTACACTCATGCACCGTTGGCAAGTCTTTACATCTAACTTCCTGTGAAATTCGCGACCATGGAGATATATCGTCGAAATAGGTTTGTGTATATCCACGATGCGGCCTGATTCATTACAATATCTACCGTCGCTGGTGTTCTTTGATATAACAACCACCCGTCTGTAATAAAAACTACGGTGAGAGGGCATTAAGCATTTGATAGACCCGATTAAATAAGTCAGTGGTACCGAACAAAGCAATCATTCACACCCCACTACTTGTCGCAAGCTTCCGAATGCAGAAAATAGGCAAAGGGTAAAGAAATTACATTTTTATACCAATCTCATTTCGTGCTTCGTGCATCATTGGGATGAAAGCGTCAACAACGTCCCTTTTTACTAATCGTATCAATTTGTTAATCTCAATGTCTTGCAATCGCTCGCAAAACATCGCTTGTAATTTCTCTAGCTCTATATAATGTCCTAGCGAAGGTAGTGAGTGGAGGCTAACAACCTTGAGAGTACCTCAATCACGAGTGAATTATCTCTTTTGCCTCTTTCACGTAGAAAGTCAATGCTCCGCACTTAAAGTACATCATACGGTTGCGCTGACTCAGCAGCATCGCTACATCATGACAAGGAGACGTCATTCTTCTTTAATTCAGGGCTTAGCAACCGTAGTTGCAACTTACGACTCTCTTCAACTCCAGCGGCTCTTGTCACATTTGTATCTGGCATCGGTAATGCCTACACGTATTGCATTTTATTTACTAAACTTGTGCTATGTATGTAGTTTCATAACGCTATCAAATCGATAAGGACTTTCCATAAATCTTACAAAGCCTGGGGCGCTGATACTAACAACAAAAACTAGTCTGTGAGACCGCTTCTACAATAGACAGATGCATTTGACAGGGCTATATTCCGTTCAACACGACCTCCGAGGTATACTAAAGCCAAGTCTCCTCTAGCAGGCTGCCCTACGCCTACTAAGCTTAACGTTACTCCGTAAGGGATGTGTCGGCGACCTCGTGTAAAAATACAACCTTTTGCACCACTTAGTCGACTAAGAAGGGAGCACACACAGTGCAGATGTTCTGTACAATTTTATATGTGAAATTTGCTATTGACGTAGAGCTGCTCAGCAGCCAAGAGATCTCTCTATTTCTAGCATAATTGCGGTCTATTGCGTTCAACAAAGCCCTTAATATCCTAACCGGCCCTTGCAACACAAAATCTTATATTCCGCATTAAATGCGACACCAACTGTTCCACACCAAGAAATTGGGTGAATGCGGAAGCTTTTAGTGCAAGCGCACCCACTTCACCAACAAAATTTCTGTTACTGCCTCCGGATGAGTGGCAGCCGTCATTATATCGACGAGAGTTCTTATCTCCTGGACATACTCCGCTAGTTATCGCCTCCCTTGACGAGTCGACAAAACCTTGAAGAGCACTTGATGTGCCTATTCTTAGGCGGTGCGAGCGCACGCGGCATATACATCAAATTAATGCATGTTGTCAATGCATCTTTTCTACGGCACAGTACGTTTCCGTACACGACTTCCTGGCTTACTGTTCGTACAATCGTTTTGTCTGGAGCATGCCCAAAACGATGGCCATTTCAATTTCTCTTACCAGAGGTAGAGACTTCTTTATCGCTAATCCCAATGAAATGGACGCTCAATGTTTTGGCAACACGGTGACTGCCATTTTTTGCTGCCACTGATGCCTTATTGGTGCGCCCCTGTAGATTTGTCACCAAAAAATTCTCCTATCTGCTTAGCGCAGCTAGTTACGTGATCTATTCGATATACATACGATTACTGAGCGTGTCTGATTGACTTAGGAGAAGATGCTCACATAACTCGTATTACACCTGACAGAGTATGCAGTCTTTTCACGACTTGGTCGTCGGATTGGATACTAGTGCTACCAAGTGCAACGGGTCGCCATGCATCTTGCACAGATGAAGCTCGTATAAAAAATGATAGAGGTTAGAATCTTACTACACCCCAAACCGCATCCTAGAGCCTTTAAAGTAACTCAGTACTCCTATATCAAGAGGACATACATTTCGGATACAACATATATGCGTTTTACTACATCCAACAACTAAATTACCGTATTGCTTAGAGTCCCATCATCTTTAAAAGTATCGATATTTGGTACTTTTGAATATTCGCATTGCACGGAAGTGTTGTGTAAATTTGTACAATTGTACAAATAAGTTATTCGCACAATTGCTCAGAAGTGCAAGGTGTACCGATCAATAGTTGCGCTACACATCATTATCGGGGTGCAAAGAAAATTTTCATTGCTATTTTAGCGTAAGATTGATGACCCCCAATACTAGAAAATCAGGAGTGAAACAGATCATTTAGTATTTCTAGCTTATAACTACTTTCAAGTTAATACACATATCGACAAGAGCACGTATGACGCATCTGCCTTTAAGAACTGCTCGCACGTAATTTGAGCAGTATCGTTTCATAACATATTGAACTTCTGTGGTTTTGTATGCAAATGGATACCAAATCGAAAGCAACGACTGTGATATTTTTGTTCAAACCATGACACCTCATTTCTCTACGTCTCCACTTCTCTACTTTAAAAGTCATGGTATTAGCAAAGTTCGACAATCTAAACGAATCCAACGTGGTTTGAGTTAACGATAGGAGCACAAGCTTCTGCATTTTTTCGAAGTAAAATTTCAGAATCAGTACGAGAAATAACGCTAATATGCATTTGACTTACTATAGACTTGCCATGCTGCTTCGTGAAGTGCCAACCAGTAAAATTTAAGGTGACATTGGCCATCACACAATGCATTGAAATCAATCGGCAAATGGGCTGGATAAGACGTAAAAGTAGCTCGACAGTCATCATTGAAGAGCGCACGATGGTTATCTATCCAGACTTCGCAAGGACCATGGTGTGAATCCACAAATCCTCGATGCTCTTCATCATTCTGCCAAAGTAATTCCTTGGCATTCGTTACATTTACAGGAGCAACGTCCTCTCGTGTGTTTCCACAGTCTGACACAACAGGATCGAGCATCTCACGCAGCGAAGAATAGCTGGAATTGTGAAATGCTGTAGCAAACATCGCAGCATTGCGTTCTGGAGTATCATTCCATTTTCTGTTTCCAAAACTTCGTATGTTGATGCTTTCAGTGATTGTCGTCACGAAGGATGTAGCTGTGTACGGGTCACGGTAGACGGCAGCTGGAAAGGAAAGATATCCATGACTTTTCACCTCGGCAATACATAAAATCATTGCCGCGAGAAAGTTCATGGTGATACGAGAATGTTGAGAATTGCAATGAGCTTTAGAACTTCAAATTGACACTGCGGTCTTGTGTTGGAAGGTCGATGTTGTTGACATTGGTTCATGTCGTGGCGTAGCTAGCACGACCGATAATCAGGTATGCTGCAAACGTTGGACGAACTTCTTGATCATACGCATTCGTGCCATTTGAAATGTGATCGCAACAAATGTCAGATATTCGCATTCCTTTTTGTCGCACTGAGCAGAAATGTGTTCTACCACACCATCTAAACCCATGACCAACATGAACCAAAAGCGACAGCGTGTTGCTAGCCCAGTGTCCAGCCCTCGTATTGAATGCCGAGCCTCTGATCCGAGTAGCAAAGAACCTTCTGATTTGTCAGCAGTAGATGCTGAACTGTTCAGCATTAACGACTCTCTACAGAAGGAGGAGACGTCACAAAAACGTGTGTCTATTTCATATTTTCGACGAACAATCTTGATGGTGGCTTATCTATACTTTCTTTATTTTACGGATTTAGAGACGTGGCAGATCGGCAAACGCGTGAAGAAGCTTGTGGAAAGCCATGAAGATTTGCCCACCGCCAAGAAATTAGACGCATATTTTTTATGGGGCACGGCATTGGCTCGATTGGCATCCTTAAACGAAGATTCGACACTGGCGGAAGCCGCAGCTGATAAGTTTCAGCTCATGTTAGAGCTAAGTGAAGACAGTGGTGATGAAGATGCTGCGGACGCTGCGTTAGGAGCCGTGGGATTTTCGCTTTGGGGGTCATCGCTGCTGATTGTAGCCACAGAGACACAAAATCGACATGTCTTGGACGAGGCTCTCAATAAGTTTCAACGAGCAGTCAAAGTTGATGGAGGCACGACATTTGAAACAAGATTTCAGTACGCAAAAGCTTTAAAAGAGGGAGGAGATTTGGTCACGTTTCTAGAAAAAGACAAGAAAGAAGAAGGAAATGCTTACTATCAGAGGGGATTAAAGGAATGTGGCAAGTTAGAGTCGATATACATGGAAGTATCAGCAAAGCAAGCCAAGCAATCGCGTGACGAGGAGTGTGATTATGAAGACGATGACACAGTGTTATGTGAGGATTTTGCTGAAGTAAAGTTGTTGGAAGCTGTGCTGCAAGGTCTACTAGAAGATTCTAGCAGTATTGACGACTTTCATCGCACATTTGCATTATACCGGGAAGCTATTTGTACGTGACTCGTTATTGAATTTATCAAATCTTTGATTTAAGGTGGTATTGATAGCGCTGAACTCGAGTAGCACCGACGCATTAATGGAAATGACTAATTATTTGGCAGCCAGATGTTTGGTGAGCTCGATGCAGGGAGTAAAGCCAACTGCTTCTGAGTGGGCCACACTGTTTCAGAACTTGGAGATCGAGTACAAGACTTTATTAATGAGATGTGGGTTTAATTTGGAAGACTTTTATAAAATTTGCAAGAGAAAAGAGGATTTACATGACCGCAAAGAGTCTGTTGGACAGGAAATTGATGAGCGGGTTCCATACTTGTTAAACACTCTTGGAAAAGGCCTTGCAACATTTGTTCAAGCCTTTCCACGGCTGCAGGAGCAAACGAATAAACAGAAAAAAAAGAGAAAAAAGTCGGCTGACGCCCGCTTCACTCGTGCAGTTGAATTGCTTCGCTCGGCTCATCACTTTCATGACAAGCTTGGCAGTTATTACTTGGCATGTTTGTATGCATCCCCGGCTTTCGAAGACGAAAATGTGAGTCTACTCAATTGACTGCGAGTTCATTGATGATATTTATTTTTATGTATGCAGCAATGTCGGACATGGCTAGAGACAGCTGACAGTTATGGGGCTTTAGAAGATGAGTTTGATGTACAAATGTTTACGACGATGAAAGAGAAATCATGGTTCAAGCGCTTGATTCAGCCACCTGAGCAAGTTGACGAGGGCGACGATAATGTCGGTCAACATGACGAATAGGCGATTTGTCCAACGGGCTTTAGTTATTTGGTAGCAATCCTCTAAGGTAATGGAAAAATAGTGCCATTTTCTAAATCACTTTGCCATCTTTTTTTACATAGCACTAAGCTCCGATACGATAAGTTTTTTGTCACATAGCTTCAAGAAAGACACACAAAGTGTTTATTGATCAACAAAGGCGGTATTTTCTCATAGCTAGTTTTTAAGGGCTTGTAATATTCTCATACAATCCGAGTGTGGCACTTTCTCAACTGAATTCTGCGGGATTTTATGGCATTAGTCCAGTCTGGAACGTCATCAAGAGGAAAGCATGAGCTGGTACCCACAATCAAGTCCTGAAGACAGCTATCAGTGGATATCCATCTTTTTGGAATCCCTTGACGGTGACTTGCCCGAGTTTGAACTAGACGTCGATAGTCAGCACTTTTTCGACGATATCAATGTTCGACTGGTTGAGGTCTCACCTGACGACCATGACCGATCTCTGCTTCAGCCTAACACGTTTGTTGTGAATGAGATTTCAGATACTCCAGATTTGTTGACAAGTTCTGACGGACAAGAAGCGGCTCCCAAATCACCAGTCTCATTTTGTGATCTCTTGAAAGATGCAGAAGCGGTAACAACATGCAACCTTCAAGCGTCAAGCCATGCAGCAACAACTCCTCGAAAGTATCAAGACCGCAAGTTAAAATTGCAAAAGCTGATTGCAACTGCCGCTTCTTATCCATATGAGAAACCAGTCACTCGCTCACGTTCGCGCAAAAATCTTAATCGCCGCCTGTTCAAATAGAAAAATGTCATTTGGCCTCATATGTACCACGGCGAGGACGAATCGAGAATTCGATTGAAAGTTTAAAGCAATTATGTCACAAGCAACCGCCATAAGCTCTGAAAATTTTAGTGTAATTAAGAAGGCTAAATTTGCTTACGTTTCGTGGTTTATATTTTGTACTATGCAACGGTAGGACTCATACAGGGGATAAATTACACGAACTTTTAAATGATGAAAGGACGGGAATTGTACAAAGTTAATATAGAAACTATTACATCCACGCTAAATCTCCTAAATGAATTACCAATAAATTCCTATCATTTTTTTAGAATAAAAGCCAATAACACAACGAGACCAGTCATGTCAAGGGTTTTCGTGTGTATTGTACAGAGAGAGCTCCGACTCTCACAGTCCGCGTTTAAAAACGCACAAAAGACGCTCTCGATTTCCTTCTAGTAAGAGCGGAGACGAGAGACTCTAAAGTATACGTTCGCTCTGCAATTCTAAGAGTACATGTAAATTACTAAATATGTAAGTTTCATCATCTCTCATAGTAAAATTATGGTGCTTTTCTGATACCTCTCTTTCACAGGAATCCCTTCATCTACATATCACGACATATCATCTCAATTTTGTATAATTTTTTTAATCTCACGCTAGGGTTTGTCTGGTTGTGAACATGAAGTATCGAGATATCTGTCGCCACGTATTTTTCCGTGGTGAGAATGTGCAGCGGGGCTGCCGTAGCTCCTTCGCTCATGTGAAGCTAAGCTCAGGTTTGTGACCTTCGTCCTATACTTAAAACCAGTACGAGTGTAGCGGATCGTAATCCGCTTATCCCAAGAGTAACCATAACATTAACCCAAGGCAATAAACCCTTCCGTTTAAAAGGTAACCTTTATTTCTTGGTCTTATTTGCGGCAAAGCCGCCTATAGTTAAATCTGTAGGTCTCCCTAATTAGATAGTAAAATTTAATGTAAAATGCATAAATACTGGCAGTCCAGCCACGTACTGACTTCTTGTTAAGGTGTAGCCACACCGTGATGTGAATACACCTTCTCGTGTAACCCACACCCTTGTTTGGCTACAACACTCACCCCTTCACACCAGGGTGCATGTAATTCTGTAGCAGAATGACACTTCCACATAATTTTGCTTGCAAGTGTACATTCTCGAGCGCGGCCTCCTCTCTTGGAAACTGTAGACACGAAGCGCTGTTGCTCCACCAAGAGTAAGGCTGAGTTCATGAATATCTCAACTACCCTCATCGAGAGGAAGATACTTTCTTTGCTACGGCTTTAAGAGACTTAGATGCTCAACATCAGAAGCATTACAGTGAAACCCAGCTTGTCTCTACCAGCACCCTATTGAGGCGCGTCACGATGTGCTCCACCAGCCCATTCGATAGCTTGCGAACGACTTAAGGCGAGCGAATACCGCATCTGGCACTTGATATGCTAATTCTTCTATCCATCAGGAATTGACATGAGCTCATCAAGTTGGTCTGTTGTTCTGAGGACGAAAACTCGAGAAGATCATACACCATATTCAAAGAGGATAAAGCTTTCTCATTTAAATGACAAAATGAAAAAATACGAATTTGGTAGGGGTAGAACAAAAACATATGCACAACAGATTTTGTTCTACCCCTACCAAATTCGTATTTTAGTCCGTACGCATTAGTTTGCCAGAACACTCTTCCACACCAATATGAGAGCCACACTGGGGCAAACAACTCTTGTGTATATTCGATACATTGCGCAAGAGCAGCGCTTAAGAGCACACACTGTGGGCGGAGTTATACCTCATTCCATGGTGCTTGATATGCGTTGTTGATGCGCAAAACCCGTATGCGATGGACAGGTCGAAGCGGATATTGCTGCATGTCGTGGAGACATGGTGGGGTATCCACCAGCGGCGGCGCAAATCACGGGATCGAAATGTGGCCATACGAAAATGTTGAAGGACGTGAGTTGGCATATCAACAAGCCGATTTATGCCGGCAACGACGATCAATGGATTGGTCGTATGGTGGATTCTCAAGGCCTTCCTCCACCTGCATCGTCGTCGACTTCCATTTTTGGACCCCAAGCGATGGGGCAATTTCTTCATTCGTTTCGGCTCCTAGTGAGCCTGTGGGGGTTCGCAACCTCACACTACGGACTACGTCACGGCAATTCGCAAGTAGTTGCGAATGTGGCTCCCACGAGCTTTCCAAATCCAGTTACCGAGCCATTTTTCAAGGAGCTGTAGCTATCCACGGCGTCGTCATGCGGACACAATCTTTTTTCCACAGGAATGTGGGCAACCCCGTCTCGGATTACCACTTAGCAACGGAATTCTCGGTGGTTGAGCAATCGACATCGGTACAATTTCGTTGGTGCTGCACTTGCAGATGAGAGACGCAGCGATGCGTCTGGACGAGCTCGTAGCATCCTCGGATGCAAATGCGATCGCGAAGATGGGTCATCAAATGGTGAAGGCGATGGAATCACTGTGGTCTGAAGTTCGCCATGTGGAGGTGAACGATCACGCAGCAATATCTGCTCTGTGAACGAAACTCGCTCGGCTGCAAGCGGCTTCATTATGAAGCTCAAGAACTTCAGAGTGCTGTGGCACAAAGTGATTCGATTTTGGGACTCAATGACGCTTTTGTCCTCGTTCACGATCTCCGTCACCGGACTACGATCAACCTCGTTCGTACAATCTGTACGCAAGAAGAATCACTAATGTGTGGCTTAAGTAAACCGACCGAGTATGTTGGATGGAGACGGATCCAGCTTGGTAAGTCCAATGTATATGCATTTCCGGCACATGTCAAGACCTTGATGTGACCGATGTATCGAATAAGAAGCTGGAAAGATTCTAGACTAGAGACGGCAGATTCAGCCAAGTTCTTGGTACTGACTATTCCATAACATTTTTTAATACATGTGTGTTTCTACGACCATGCATATCAGCATAAAATTTCTGTAAATCTTGCGCTCCGCCATAGCATCACTTACGCGTGATACAACATTTGCTCTTTCGGTCACGAATTTGTCAATACTTTGACGAATTCGCTTGTCAACTTGACTGAGTTGGGAGGCAAACGCTTGCCAAGCCCCTCCCTCACCAGAATATTGCGTGCCCTCAATGAGACAAAGAGGCAATGCTGAAAGGCGAAGGCCATTGATGCAAAAAGGAGCAAAGCCAGTTGATGCATGGACCGCATTGTTAATGGTAAATTCGACCACCGGGAGCATTTCTATCCATGCCGGCGGCGACGATGCCCAAACACTGCGTAGAATGTCTTCTACCACGCGATTCGCGCGTTCAGTTTGACCATCAGTCTCGGGATGGTCTTTGGTGGCCATCTCTAGGCTAGTATCTAAAAGACGAAATAAACTCATCCATAAGTCCACTGTCACGATCGAATACGATTAATTATGGTAATACATTATGTCGAAAGACATGATCAATAAATAATCGAGCGCTCTGTTCTCCAGTAACGGAATTAACCGTTGGAACGAGGCGCACCATCTTTCTTAAACGGTCTACAAACACCAAAACATCATTATGCCCTGCGGCATCAAGGAAAACCAGCAATCAGCTGGTTCTGGCAGACTCTGCAATGGAGCCTGACTGTGTAAAAAGGGCTTCACACGCTGACATACGTCACACGTACGTTGATACTTCTTAGCCTAAGTATACACTTTAGGCCACCAAATGTGGTGTACAAGCGCTGCATAAGTCTATTCTCGACCGAGATGACCTGCGATTAGCGTATCGTGTAATTCATACACCAACTTGTGCTTCAAGTAATCGTTGTCGGATACGACAACCCGAGAGTCATCTTGTACTTTGTAGTACAATAACCCGTCTTCGAGTGAGATTCGATGACTTTAACCGCGATAATGTCGATAAGACTAACTCGTCTGTAGTGTTCATCCCCTTAAAGCTAACAGCACAATCCTGGTCGTTTGGATACGCTTGTCGACTCATGTCGAGCCCGCTGGAAGTACACGAATACTTCGCATCCGCCAAGACATTCAGCTTGCATGGCTATAAGCTACTGTAAAGTTGTATTCCGCAAAAAAAACAACGGGCTATCAGTTCTGACAAATGTGGCGTTTGAGGCGCTGTACGCAACGATACGTGGTCGGTTTAAACGACGAATGGCTTGGAATCCACGAGTTCAACTCTAAACTTCACGGATGCATATTTTATTGCTAGCAATTCTTTGTAGCTAACGCGATAATTCCGTTCAGCTGTCTTCAGCTGCCTCGACTGATACAAGATGACACCTCTCTGTTCATTAACATCTTGCTGCAGCAATGCACACCCGATAACAAAATCGGAGGCGTACAGGATGGCAAATCGTATTTTAGTGATATCAAAAAAGGCGCTGCCTGCAAGCTGTGCTTGATATCGTCGAAGGCGACTGCACGAATTTGCTACAACCACTCTTGATCTTTCTTCAACAAGTCTGATAACGGGTGTGCCATGTCCGCACAAATCTTGGTATGACGTTGGAGATAGTTGGCCAAACCCAACCATTTTCTCAGCTCCTTCTGGTAAGTTAAGGCCGACCATTCTTAAATGGATTTGATCTTTGCTGGGTCTGCCCGAACACCGTCGATGCCGACAAAAAGACCCAAGTTTGGTACTTCTTCGGCGCCAAATATACATTTATCAATGTTAGCAGAGAGCTGATATTCTGTTATACACGCCAATACCTGATGTAGGTGCTCGAGATGAACTTGATCGACATCGGCCTATTTCGGATTTAACATGGACAAAAATGTCATCAAAATACGTCGACGCAAACAGCCGCAATGGACGGAATAAATGCGTAGCGAGACGGTTAAACGTCGCTGGCGCATTGGAGAATCTTTGTGGCATCGCCAGCCAATCCCATAGAATACCGCTAGGTGTGCTCACTGCCGTATAGGGAATCGATGGAGGCTCCATTAAGACTTTAAAATAGCCATTTACTAGATCAAGTACGATCAAACATTTCAAGCCAGTCATCTTGTTGATAATGACATCCCTGCGAGGAAGGGGGTCTGAGCTGGCACATCCGACACATATACGACAGCTTGCGGTATGTGCGTACAATACGCCACTTGCCGTTTGGTCAGCGAACGCATAACGTTGGCTCACGATTCACTCGTTCTCACCCACCCCTGTCACTGTTATGCAGCAAACAGCGAATCTGTAAACTCGGATTGGTCAGCTGATAATGGCCATTGACGCAATAGCAGATATCCTGCATCTGGCTCAATCTCGATCTCGTGTCGTATACCACGAACTGGCGGGAGGCCGCGCGGGAGTTTCGGACTCAAATATGTTGACGTGTACTTGGACACGAGGGTGAAATAAGGATCGCGCGGATTCTAATGAATAAATTATCCGCGTCGCGATTTAAGTCGCCGTCGAAAATCTTTAACGACACTTGGAACGAGTACACAGGACGTATTAATCGCTCTTGCACGACGAATCATAACGACTTTGACGAGCGCTCCTTTCTTGATGTCTTCAAGGGACTTTGAGAAGGTTAGTTCTCTCAGGATCGTGAGCAGAAATTTCTGGCAGTGGGGCCATATAAGCCTGGTCGAGTAATCCCGTCACTGGGTCACAACTGCATTTTGTGGTATCAACCACTGGATCATTAGCGTCCACCGTATGTTAGACAACAGGAGCAATGGCTTCCACGATAGATCAGACTATCAGAGCATGATGTGCTCTGACAGTAGCGTTAGCTACTGGGGTCTTTATCTCCACAGCAATGCTCTTTACTATAGTATATAGTGTTTACACAATAGCGTTAGCTTTTGGATCCGTTGCTTCCACAGTTGATTTGCTTACTGGAGCATAACGTGATTCTATAATAGTATCTACCGGAGCATTGTCTTCCACAGTAGATTTTACTACTGGAGAATAGTGGGGCTCCACACAAGACTTTACTATTGGAGCAAGAGCTTCAAAAGGAGCAATAGCTTCAAAAGGAGCCTTCGCTTGAGATTCCATGATAGACTTGATCATCGAAACGACAAATTCCACAGCACCATTGACTACTGGACCATGGGCTTCCACAGTAGATTTATTCCTGGGGCAATAAAGTGTTTCGACACAACTGACGTCACAATCGCATCTTCTTGGTGACTTATGACTTCATATCTATGTAGCAAACGCCAACATTGTGAGCTCTGTATTCGATTGCAAAGTTGTTACGCTGGTGGATAGCCACATACGAGTCATGATGTCCGTAGGTTTGACTTTCGCTCGGCGAGCTATTCGCAATCTACCAAGCTCTCCAGTTGATCTATGGCTCGTTGTCTTCTTCTGGTATAAGATCATACCGAAAATCCATATGGATGACGGAAAACGTCGATTCGAAGTAAAAACCCGAGATGCTCTGTTGTGAACAAACGCGTTCGTCACAAGACGGACATATGTGTTACCATGATTCTTCGCGCATACTGCATCGAAGAGGAGTGAATTCTTGGCAACGCTCTTCTTTCAAAACTTACACGTTGACGCTTCAGAGTCAATGAGGACTCTGAAGGGTATCCCAGCTACCTTCACCGTTGTCAAAACTACGAAAGGGCCTCCCTTTCTCTGCCCCTTCGTGGGAAGTCTAACTTCTTCGGGGACAGCGGTTTCCCCTGCGCAATATCAGCACAGGAGAATGTTGCTGCTTCTACCCCGGTAGGCCGCCCCGCGCCTGTTTGGTCTGCGCGTTTCCTGACGACGGGGAACACTCCGGAAGGTGTAACAACATCGTCCTTGCTGAGGAATGGGCCTCCTCGTCCGCTGCAGAAATTATCCCAATGGCCACCACGTCGGCTGACACCCGGTCAGCCTCCTCGACTACGAGTAGGCCAAACTGGTGATACATCAGAGGGTTTGGACCCATAAATCTTCGTCGGGCAGTCCCATTTGAGGTGGCCGCTAGGCCAAAGCCATTCCAGGTTATCTTTCGGCGATCAATAGCGGACAGGTCCATGGGCCCAGAAACACCACTTGACGGCGGCTGCACATCGGTGGGACCAGTGGATAAATCAGGCGACCGTCGCTGGAGCTTCTTCTGCTGTAAGGCGACGAAGATTGCATCTTCAAACTTGGTCGGTTATCGACGAAAGAATTCAGTCTTTCGAGAGCCGATCTCGAGTTCCTTCATCCCTTCATAACATCGGCTACCATCACGTTTTTCAAAATCGGATTGTCGTTCAGCGACTCCAGAAACCTGCAAATTTACTTTTCAAAGTCGTAGATCGAGCGTTTACCCTGACAAAGCATCAAAACATCGAGCGATGTTCAAACGGCGCACTCGGTGAAAGAAACATCTTCGCCACAGATTTTTGGAGAAACCTCCAAGGGGAGAAATAACCAGGATGTTCATTAATGGGCAGCAGCATCCATTTGCAAAAACGCAATGCAACCTCCAGCTGTTTCTCGTGAACAAGCGCTGCTGCTAATACCATATCCACCTTCGTTGAGCCATCTCAATTCGAAAGTCTCAGCTCTCTTTAATTGATTCTCTTTTTTACCAAGCTATTGTGTAGTGCTGTTTGGATTCTTTACTGGAACTTCGTTCCATTCATAGGTGTATTATGCGTGTTGAGGCTGTACTTAATGCCCTGAGACTCGTCCAATGTCATCCAGTATCTTCTTGACTCCATCCAGTTCTTTCAACAAGCTCATGAGCAATTGTGCATTCATCTACGAACGCTGGTAATTATGAA